GTACCTAATAAAGTGGCCGGTGAGTGTATATGGATATCTGTATATAAAGATATATCTGTATACAAAACGACAATAAAGTTTGTCTAAGTCTGAAAAACCAAAGTCATCCAGTTGTCAGATTGTTTACAACGATCCTTTATTAGAGCAAATCAGCTCAGGTGGGATTGTATCGATGACATCACAATTTATAACTATAATTGTATAATAAGACATTTAATTTATAAAGCGCTTCCATCAAAAGCTATCAAAAAAAAGAAAAGCATGAAAAAGCTATTTTTAGAAGAGAGAAAAACATCTAAAGGGGTTTGAGGTGGAGGGCATTCTACAGATGTGTGGCAGCAGCACAGAATATTTATGACATAATCTACAAAATCCACTATATTACCCTTACTATCAGATGAAACATTAATTATTATATCACCTGATTCAGTCAATCTTAATAGAAGGATTTCTTATTAATCAGGTTATATTTATTTATTGTTCAATGTGGGTTTATTATAAGGAGAGAAATCATGTTTACAGTAATGCAGGAATATCTGCGACTTTCCCTTTAATTTCCTGCTCTCGCCACGCTGTTTTTCTCTGATTGGTCAGAAGAGGGAAGTGGGCGGGATTAGATTGTTTGGGATGTACCATGATGTAACAATAAAGGGGGAAAAGAAAAGTCTGAATAAATGTTAGCGAATGGTTGCGGCACCTGGAACAAATAGACACGAGTATTTAGTGAAAACAAACGATCATACAAAGTTTCTACAGTTAGATAATTGTTAAACTTTGGATATATTTAGATTTTTTTTGTGGTTCCGGTTTTGTTTAAAATCCCCGATTCATTAAGATTGACAGTCAAGCTAGTCAGCGATAGGCATTGAAACCGGAAACAGAATAATTGGCCAAAATTTGGCATAAAATGCAATCAGAATCAGATTTACTTTATTAATGCCTTGCGGGAAATTATGTCCTTGCAGTTTAATCGTTTACAGAAGAGAGAAAAATAAGATTGTAAGTGCAAGCAAGATATAAAAATAAAATAAGATAAGGATCACAGTATATGCAATCGACATGTACAAAATTGCAAATTGCAATTTTTGCACATGACCGTATTTTTGCACATAGTGAAGTAAGTTCATAAATAAGTAATGAAATGAAATAGGCTACTAAGCAGAGTTTGTTGTACTTTGACTTCACCAACCTACCTATGCATAACTAATACAGTTTTCAACAAACAATAATTTTACTAGAGGATAATTTCTTTTTTATTCTCTACCCCTCAAGTTATTGCACCAAACAAAAAAAGGCACCCGTCAATTCCCTGTAATTATGTTTAAATGAGACTTTTTGTTTTGACATAAACTTTAGTATTTTGATGCCATTTAGAGGTCAAGGGAATCACATGCTAAATAATGTTACTTGGAGTAGCCTATGAAAAGTGCTCAATAATTAATTTTGGAGGTTTCATGCTCTGAAAAAAACAGATTTTATAATATGATACATTTTTACTTTCTTTTTATACGCAAAAATACAACAATTTGGATTTTTTTTTTTTTTATGGATGATAGATTCTGTGTTGAGAGTGCAATTATTTGACAGGCTAAATAGATAAATACTCATTAGTATATCTGAAAACAACATACCACAATAGGCTAAGTTGGTTGCATTTATAAATAATATATTTGAAAGAGTTTGCCTCTTTTGCTCCTCCTAAATAAAATCCTTTAATGTTGCACATAAGATCCTACTTCATGTTTCACCTCTTTCTGTCAGATGTTAAATGAAATTTATTGTTAAGAATATAAAA